TATATATGTATGTGTGTGTGGTGAAGATGCACACAAAAAACTTACTCCAGATTAACCTAACCCTGATATAGTTTATTTACATATATATTGTTACACGAGACAGTGGCCTAAATGGAGGAGTTTATATATATATATATATCTTCATGTTCCTGCCTTGTCTCACCTCCCACCAACCTGTGTTTAAGGTTCGTCTTGGCTTCAGATGATGTGTTGAGTGACGGGGTGATGTTAGATGTATAGACCGCGTGAAGTAATGTGAGTGGTGATGTTTAGAGTGAGTTTATTATTGATGTTTGGGGTGGTGTTGTTTGGTGATGAGTGACCGCATATACTGGTTAGGTCAGGTCAGGTCAAAGGTCAATACCACAAGAAAACAAGTATATCTCCTCAGTGATTCCATGGTTAGGTTAGGTCAGGTTAGGTCAAAGGTCAATACCACAAGAAAACAAGTATATCTCCTCAGTGATTCCATGGTTAGGTTAGGTCAGGTTAGGTCAAAGGTCAATACCACAAGAAAACAAGTATATCTCCTCAGTGATTCCATGGTTAGGTTAGGTCAGGTTAGGTCAAAGGTCAATACCACAAGAAAACAAGTATATCTCCTCAGTGATTCCATGGTTAGGTTAGGTCAGGTTAGGTCAAAGGTCAATACCACAAGAAAACAAGTATATCTCCTCAGTGATTCCATGGTTAGGTTAGGTCAGGTTAGGTCAAAGGTCAATACCACAAGAAAACAAGTATATCTCCTCAGTGATTCCATGGTTAGGTTAGGTCAGGTTAGGTCAAAGGTCAATACCACAAGAAAACAAGTATATCTCCTCAGTGATTCCATGACAGTTCCTCCCCCACCGAGAAGTGAAACATGTCACCACTCATAAAACTATAATTGAAAAACACAATTTTCAACCCAGAATCTCCAGGTGTATTTGTTGCCCGGGAGTGTTGATGTATGACGTCACGAGAGAAATAAAACACGTCATTCATAATTCATCGTAAAATTATTATTATTATTTTATTAATTTTAAAATCTCAGGAATGAATGATAATTATATTTCACTTACTTAAATTGAGGACAAATATGTATATAGTATTAATAAATATATAGTATTTTATTTTCTTCATATGAAACAAGAAATTAATAACCTAACCTAACCTAACCTAACCTAACCTAACCTACAGACAAGCACAGGTACCATCAGGGAAGTCAGGCACTATAAGACAAGACAAATGAAATAAAACTGACATTTTTTTTATCAGAGACGAGTCAAAGATAATTGAAGAAGCCCGACTATAAGGTGAAGACTGGCTGAGTACAATAACCTCGGTCACTCACCCATCTCGGTCACTCACCCACCACGGTCATTCACCCACCACGGTCACTCACCCACCACGGTCACTCACCCACCACGGTCACTCACCCACCTCGGTCACTCACCCACCACGGTCACTCACCCACCTCGGTCACTCACCCACCTCGGTCACGCACCCACCTCGCTCACTCACCCACACGGACAAATTGACACAGTGGGTGGTATAGTACTGCCTGACTTGAGTAGCACAGGGGATAGGAGTGGGGGGCCGGGGAGTAGGGAGGTAGGGGTGGGGGTAAGGAAACCAGGGAGTAGGGGAGCAGAGGCAGGGGGTGGGGGGTAGGGGAGTGGGAGGTGGGGGGTGGGAAGTGAGGAGGGTGAGAGGCCAGAACACCGTCAGGAAGGTCTTGGCAATGTCTAAAGAGAATGGCGAGGGAGGCAACATTGCAGTGTGAGGGAGAGTAGTCAAGCGTTGAGGTCAGAGGGGAGAGTTAATGGGGTGAATTATTTTAACCACAGTTGTCCAGGAGGTGTGTGTGTGTGTGTGTATGTGTGTGTGTGTGTGTGTGTGTATGTGTGTGTGTGTAAGTTCTTTCTCTTTCTCCCCTCTCTCTCTCTCTCCCCGATTCTCTTTCTATTGCCTTTTTCTTTCCCTTTCTCCATCTCTCACTTTTCTACCCTTCCTTCTCTCTCTCTCTCTCACCTTTTCTTCTCTGTCTGTTTGTCTGTCTCTGTCTCCAGCCTTAAACACACACACACACACACACACACACACACACACACACACACACACACACACACACACACACAGTATAGATCAATTACATCTCTTCACTGGGACAATATCAGGACACTCATAATAAGTCTTTTATTCAAACCTCTATTAAACACTATGTATCAAACCCGTCATGTGATATTTTACATGAGTATTCGTAAAAAAAAAATACCTGTGATATTTTTATTTATTTTATATTATAGGTGATAATATATAATTAATTTAATGGTGTTGAGATAATGATTTGGTAATGTATAATGACTTGTTAATATTCATACATACATACATACATACATACATACATACATACATACATACATACATAACACTAACTCACTCACACACACTCACTAGTAACTCACACTAATATGGACTCGGAAGAAGTGCCTTAAAAATACCAAGTTTTTACTACACACTTGTTATTGAACTTTGGGTGTTGATCTCAAGCCTGGGTCCCAAATCTATTTATCTCTCTATCCAGGGAAGGTGTGGTGAGTATAGTGTATCTCGGTGGTGTTTCTATATGTACACACACACACACACACACACACACACACACACACACACACTCTCTCTCTCTCTCTCTTTCCTTCCCTTCCCTCTACCCCTTCATCCGATTCTTGTTTATTTTCAATTCGTTCCTTTATCAAGAGTGTATCAGTTATCTGGTGTTATCGGCTCCATACACACACCTTCATACACCTCTCCCTACGGTACTAGCCAGGACACTACATCCTTTTATCTGTCCCCCGATAAGAAGATTGAGTATGGCTAAGGATTCACATTTCTCCCCACCCTCAGTTCCTCTCCCTTCTCCCTTCCCTCGGTTCCCCTCCCTTCCCTCACCCCCTTCCCCCCAGTTCCCTCCTCTCCCTCTGTCTTCCCTCACTTCTCCCTTCCCCCAGTTCCTCCCCTCCCTTCCCCAGTTCCCCTCCCCCTCCCCTGCCCCTCCCTCCCTCCCTTCCCCTCACCCTCCCTTCCTCAGTTCCTCCCTTCCTTCCCCTCAGTTCCTCTCTCTTCCCTCACCTCTCCCTTCAGTTCCCTCCCTTCTCCCTCCCTCAGTTTTCCCTTACCTTCCCTTCCCTCAGTTCCTTCTCCCTCAGTTCCCCCTCCCTCCCTTCCCTCAGTTCCTCCTTCTCCCTTCCCTCAGTTCCTCCTCTCCCTCTCTGTTTTGAAGTCTTATTCTTGTTGACGGTATTCGTTGCTGCTGCTCCCTGGTTCTAATCTCAAGGAAGCAAGCCATCCAATGAAACTCTATCCTTAAACTCTATCCAATGAAGCTACTGTCCTCAAACTCTATCCAGTGAAGCTACTGTCCTCAAACTCTATCCAAGCATCAATCATCATCCTAAAGCTCTATCACATTAAAACTCTATAGCTCTTATCTCTAGGTCAGGAACGATATACTTTACTATACCAACCTCTTCCTCCAAAGTTTTGTATCTTGTTGAGTCTATCCAAAGACTTTCACAGAACCATTCCAAAGTTCAGTGACTCTATTGTGACTCTGTTGTGACTCTATTGTGACTCTGGGACTCTATACGCAGGAGTTTTACGTTTTAGAAGTTACATGACTGTTAGTAGAGTTAAGGAGAGAAAGGACCATATAGAGTACTAATCAAGACTTTTAACTCTATACACATGACTCTTAAACACACTCTACAACAACACAATAAAAAACAATAACAACAATAACAAATAAAACAGCAACATCATAACAAATAGTAATTCACCACCACCACCACCAACAACAATAACAACATCAATAACAACCACCACCACCACCACAACAATAACAACATCACCACCAACAACAATAACAACATCAATAACAACAGCACCACCACCACCAACAACAATAACAACAGCAATAACAACACAATGACAACAACAACAACCTTCACCTATGCATTGTGGGTAATACAATACACAACATCAATTGGAAAAAAAAAACATCAAACGCTCATTTACAGAAAAGACAAAAAATAAACGATGAAAAAAAGTAATTACAAAAAGTATTAAATTACAGGACAAAAAAAAATCATAAAAAAACGATGTGGTTATTAGATATTTTACTTTATGGAGAAGAGAGAAGGGGAGGAGAGCGAAGAAATATAAGAAGGCAGTTAGAGAGGTGAGTAAATTATTTGGGAGGAGTCTCCCTGTCTCTCCACCTCTCTATCTTTATCATCACCTCTCTCTTTCATCTCTTTCATCTCTGTCTTTAATAACATTCTCTTCCCTCCTGCCTCTTAATATCATCTCTCCATTTTCTCTAATATTTCTCTCCCTCTTCCTCTCTCTCTCCCCTCTCCTCTCCTCTCTCTCCCCTCTCCTCTCTCTCCCCCTCTCCTCTCCCCCTTCTCCTCTTCCCTCCTCCCCTCTCTCTCTCTCCCCCTCTCTCTCTCCTCTCTCTCCCTCTCTCCCACCTCCTCTCTCCTCTCTCTCTCTCTCCCCCCTCTCCTCTCTCTCTCCCCTGTCTCTCTCCCCCCTCTCTCACATATTTAAGATAATCGATCTAACATAAAAATGAGACCAAGGGCAGCCCATTCGACCTCCATTCATATGCATTTTATGTATAAAATTTAGACACATTCAAGGGCTTTAGATCCTTCCCTATAAACTTCCACCAAATAAAACAACTTCCCCTCCCATAAATTATGAGGTGTAACCAGTCAGAACCTAGAGTAAATTTTTTTTGGTTATGATTGATCCAAAGAGATACACAGGTTAGGTTTGGTTTGGTTAGGGTTAAGTTAAGTTAGGTTAGGTTTAGGTTAGGTTTAAGTTAGGTAGGGTTAAGTTTAACATGTAGAAAATATACGATAATTCTCATGTTTAAAGTCACAGCTGCGGTATAAAACCTACTAAATAGAACAACAGGTTACTACAGGTCACTAAGAGGTCACACTTACCTAGTTCAGGGCCACAGAGAGTCGGGATGACTTTGAGGATGGCAGAACAGTTGGAGTCTTCATCACACAGCTGCTTGGCCAGAAGACAGTTGAGGGTCTGGTGCTCCTGTTCCTGCCCGCCTGTGGGAGACACCAGGGGGTTAGTGAGTGTTGCTGCTGCCCTCGCTGTTTCTCTTTCACTCTCTCTTACTTTCTCAACCCCATTCCCTTTACTCTCTCTCAATCATTTTTCTTTCTATTTCTCTTATGTGTGGCTATCTATCTACCACTTTCTCTGTCACACTAAGAAACACCTGAATATGTGTTATGTTCTAACCTCACACTAAGAAACACCTGACTATGTGTTGTGTCATAAGCTCACACTAAGGCAGCCCCGGGAGAGGAGAATCACAGGTAACTCAATTAAGGTGTGTTGTGAGGGAGCATTACCTAGGAGAGTCCTCTTAGCCCGGCCAGTGTGTCTCTCAGGAGCTTAACCTTACTGTAGAGAGAGAGAGAGAGAGAGAGAGAGAGAGAGAGAGAGAGAGAGAGAGAGAGAGATACACACAACCAAGCATAATACAGTATACACTAATACACTCCCATACACTAACATACACACAAGCGTAAATTATACAAAAAGAATATCCATTAATTTTGTGTGTATATTTTCAGAACCCAAAACACAATTATTATCAAGTCTTATCGCTTCGTCTTCTTAACACCTGTACTATAATTCGACGGTGACGCATATTAGAGATTGTTTTTTATTTCATTATCGTATTTATTTTATTTTTTTTCGTTCCATTTGAAGTTAAGATGTTGATGAGACAGATCCCGATATGTGTGTGAGAGGTGAACGATAATCAGTGGTAAAAATTGAAGAAAATTATGAAATTGTCAGTAATTGTGTGAAGTGGGAGAGATCTGTGAGATTGGGATGTGTTAAGGGTGTGTGGTGGTGTGTGTGGTGGTGGTGTGGGGTGTGTGTGGAGGTGTGGGGTGTGCGTGGAGGTGTGTGTGTGTGTGTGTTGATTGATGTAGTGGAAATTGAGGTGGCAAACATTCTATTGCATAGGAACACACACACACACACACACACACACACACACACACACACACACACACACACACTTTCTCTCTCTCTCTCCTCTCTTTCAATTTATCTCTCTCTCTCCTCACCTAAACAACACCCCATCCATAGTTAAAACATCATCACCACACACATCCACATATCCAATCCACACCGCATATGAAATCCACACTGTCAAAACCCCCCACCATTTGCCTTTCTGTTGCAACTTAAGAGAAAAAAAAAGCCTTAATGTTCATATGAGTGTTTCTTAACCAAGTAAGGACGCCATTAAACTCCAATTTGTGTTGCATGAAGAGGTGTTGGTGTTGCAGGGCTTTGGGGGGGGGGATTCTCTCTGTTGCAATGGGTGGGTTTTGTGTTGCGCGATGGGGACTTTTTTGTGTTGTATGTCTGCTCTCTCTCTCTCTCTCTCTCTCTCTCATTCTATCCTTTTCTCTCTCATTTCCTTGTCTGTCTGTCTGTTTCTCATTTTGTTTGTATCTCTCCCCTCTCACCCCTCTCATTCTGCCTGTCTCTCTCTCTCTCATTCTGTTTCTCTTTCCCACTCATTCTCTCTCTCTCTCTCTCTCTGTCTGTCTGTCTGCCTCTCTGTCTCCCCTGGTCTCCTCCCGGTGGTCTGTCGCCTCCTGTCTCAAACTCTCAACAAGGTAAGGTCAACGACATTACCCTGAGACACCTGAACACCACACCTCTCCTCTCCCTCCTCTCAGCTCCTCACTCTCAGCTCTCCCTTACTCTTCCTCCCCTCTTTCTCTCCCTTATACACCCTAACAACCATTTAAGCAACAAATATTCACATAATAATAATAATAACAACAACAAAACAACAACGACAACAACAATAACAATAATAATAATAATAATAATAATAATAATAATAATAATGTTGTCATGTTATCGTACGAAATTTTTTCCCCCAGGACGCTTTCAGGCACTTAACTTGAGAGCATTAAGTATGACCTGGGATAAAAAAAAACTTTTCACTCACAAATGTAATTATCTGTATGTTTTAGAGAGAGAGAGAGAGAGAGAGAGAGAGAGAGAGAGAGAGAGAGAGAGAGAGAGAGAGAGAGAGAGAGAGAGAGAGAGAGAGAGAGAGAGACTTCTTCATCATTACTCTAACGAACAACATTCATTAATGACCTTTCCCCGACTTGGCTGTTTCATGATTCGCCTTCATCTCTTTCTTTCCTTCGTTCATTTCTTCTTTCTATCCTTCTTTATAACCTTCCCTTACAGAAGTCATTTACAAAGGTCAAACTCCATTACAAATGTCATTCGCAGAGGTCAAACTCCCTTAGAGGTCAAACTCCCTTACAGAGGTCAAACCCCCTTACAGAGGTTATTCACAGAGGTCAAACTCCCTTACAGAGGTCAGACTCCCTTACAGAAGTTATTCACAGAGGTCAAACTCCCTTTAAGAGGTCAGACTCCCTCAGTTGGTGGGGGTGAAGGCCGGGTCCAGAGCCTCTTTGTAAGTGAACAATACTGAGGCAGCTTCTGAAAGTCCCGAGAAACACGATATTCACTCTGGCATTACTCGTGCCCGGCCAGAAGGGGGTGTCAGGGTGTAAGGGTGAGGGAGAGGGGAAGGGTGTGAGGGAAAGGGGGAAGATGGGACGGTGAAAGGGAGAGGCTAAAGAGGTGAGAGAGAGAGTGAAAGAGGCTGAGGTTAAAGGGGGCTGAGGAAAGGGGAAGGAGAGGTGGGATAAAGAGGGATAAGGTGCTAGAGAAAGGGAGGAAGTAAGGTGGAGAGAAATAAAAGGAGAGGGTGCAAGTAAAAGGGAGAAACTGGAAGAGGAGAGAGGGTAGTGGATGGGAAGGAGGAGAGAGGAAGAGAGGGAAATTTGTGAAGGGGTGGAAGGGGAAATAAAGGAAAGAAGGAAGAGGAAGGGTTGGGCAGGTAAGGAGGAAGAAGAGGGTGAGTGATGGATGGATAGAAGAGGAGGAGGAGGAGGAGGAGGAAGGGAAAATGAAGGGAAAAGGTTAATAGTTGGGAGAAGGAATGGGAAGAGAGAGAGAGAGAGAGAGAGAGAGATGGGAGGAGGGTAAAGGGCTTCAGGGAGATTGCAGAAAAGGAGAGAGAAAATTAAGTAAACAGAGGAACTAGTATGAGAAGGGGAAGTTGAAGGTTATGAAGGCAGGCAGGCAGGTGAACCAAGAGAGCTACAGGTAAAGATGAATGAACAACCGGAATTTAAGCAGATAAATATTTACTCTTATAAGCTAAAATAATGACGAAAAAAACAAACAATGTCATTTGTTCACTAGTTGTTAAGTTTCTATACAGATTTCAACTCCTTCGTTCACCCCGCCCCCCCACAAACACGTACAGTAGTTTCCAAAGCGTGGTGTTGATATATACATAAGTCAGGTGTGTGTTGCGGCCACGCTGTTGAGATAGATGTATCGTGTATCAAGAACCACACACACACACACACACACACACACACACACACACACACACACCTGCTGAGAGATCCATTCATAGCAACGTTAGCTAACAAGGGGCCGTTTCTACCTCAATGGAACTGAGAGTTAACAAAATAGTAGACATTTCCATGACTTATTTTTGTGTGAGAGAGAGAGAGAGAGAGAGAGAGAGAGAGAGAGAGAGAGAGAGAGAGAGAGAGAGTCAAAACCACCACCACCTTTCCAGTATAGTCACTCCTAGTTCTTGTAAGTGCAGGTAAAGTGGATGACGCCAGGTGTGTGTGTGGGACCATTACTGAAGGTTTAGGGTCATCTTGGTGGCTAGTGGGGGGGTGGGATCCAGGGCAGGTCGTCTGGGTCCCAATAATCTGTCCACCTTTTGTACCTCATGAGAACGGGAGTCTTCGCTGGTTTGTCAGGTCTGGGTTTATTCTTCATCTCTTTCTTCTTTTCATCTGTTATCATTATCTTTCTGACTTATCATGTGTCCTCTTGTTAGTATCTTTTTCTTCTTCTCTTCTATTAATTAATTCTTTCTTATCATCCTCTTATTCTTGTTGTGCTCATTCTCTTGTTCTTTGTTACGTTATCATTAGCATTTTTCTGTTTATTTTTTCTAATCTCTTTTTAATCAACGCATTTCTGATATTTCCCCCATTCTCTCACCTGTCACTTGTTCTCCATTGTTATTACCTGCCTTCTGCTAATCAGTCTCAGGATAGGTAACATGGAGTCCCACCAACTCTCGTAAATAAACATTCCAGCAAACTCCAGTCTTTGCGACACCCATCAATCCCACCGCTGCCACCACTTGTTATGGAGTTTCCTTGGATGGCTGTTCTATTATGACCCATTTCACAATCTCTCTCTCAAAGTAGGTATCCTTGTCTGCCTTCACTTATCTCTGTCTGCATATCTATTCATGTATATATATAGCAGTTCGAGAGGACCAGCGTCTGATTCCATGGCTGGGTGGATGTACAGACTAATTCCTTTACACAGTTTGTCACTGTCTACTCAGCAGTCACTGGGAACCTCGACGTAAATCAATTAGCGTATCATGCTCGGGAGGTAATGTTTATTCATTGCAGATGCAGAGTTGTCCGGTCTTCCTGGGCTTTACCTTAACACTGGGTTACACAGCTCTCGGACTCAGGGTTTGGTTGTTATGTTGGTGTCAATTTCTGCACCTAAACCAATTCCTCGCTCAGCTGGCCTCACTGCCTGCTATTCTCAAACATGAGGGGGAAGCAATGTTATGCATGTAAGCATGAATACATGTATATATGTATGTGACAACTGTATGTATTAATATATTATGTATGTATGCATTTATGAACCTTTGTATCTTTGGGTCTAATTTATTTTCCTCTAATACCTAACTGCCTCTCCATTTAATTGCCTGTCTGTTTACCAACATATAACTGGATGTCTTTAGAACTATCTCTCTCTGTCTGCTCCCATAGTGCCAGGAGGCCCCGCCCACCGTAAAAGGCTCACACGACTCGGTAGGATGCTTACCACCACGATTTTCAAGTGGAAAATATTGATAGCGTCAACAAGGATCAAAGAAACCTGTGAGTGTGGGCGATACGTATCCAAATGACTTTCT